ACACAGACAATTACAAAGCGGTTTCTTTGTTTTCATAATACCAGTCATTAATGTGCCGATGTTGTTCCTTCAGGACAAGATGAAGTCACTGGTGCAGGACTGGATGATTCTTTCACTTCATCAGAAACAGGTTGGTTGCACAATCATTACATATCCTTTATTCCTACAGTTACAGAGTGGTGCCGGTTTGAGTCCTGAAACTATAAATGAGTTCGCATATTACCACTTCCTGTTCTCTCGTTTAGAAGTCAGTGTTTTTTTAAATGTGGCCTTGGTAAGGAGCCTGAAATAAGGTCTGTAGGTGACACAAACATAAAGGATTTTCACGTTTTGTTTTCCAAAAATGGGACAATTCCCTTATTAGGTTGAAGCCGATTATCAGGGCCGATATTCCGCATTTGACCGATTATCGGTATCGGCTTTTTTTTTTAATCAAATTGCCGATAAAACTTTGGCTCTGATGCGGCCGTTTCTCTGGCTGCAGTCACCACTCTGTGTACACGAGCAATGTCCCGCCCACAGCGCTATCTGATAGGCTATTACTGAAGATTTTCCGGGCGGGAGCCAGAGAGGCGGGACCTTCTCAGATTACAGGTAGGTGCAGGCAGACACAGACTGAAGCAAGCAGCAGCGCTGAGCGGCAGAGCCATACATGTGTTAAACCGAAGTTCAATAAACATCCCTATCCCCTATGCTGAAGTTGCAAAAATGCCACGATCTTATGATCCAATTCTATCAGTTTCCCAGTTACACAGGGACGCGGGAAGTCAGTCAGAGTTGGGGGTGCGTGCAGCGTCTCGCAGCGGAGTAACTGTGGTGCGGAGGGGGGGGGGCTGCGAGTGGAGCCTCGCAGTTTTTCAGGTTGATATGTGAAGCTCATTAGCTAGCCAACATGTATCTTGCAAATGTTTAGCAAAATATTAGAAGTGAGTCTACTAGACTAACGTTAGGTCTACTGTAATAGCCTCACTTTTAATAGTTTGCAAAACATTAGCTAGCACTAGTGTTTTGCAGTTGCTAGCAGCTTACTGAGATGTTATGCTAGATAGACAGATATAATAAATTAAGCATTCTTGTTAGTTAAGCATGTCAGCCTGCAGCCCCACTTCTTGTCTCTCTCTCTAACTCATTGCAGATGGCTGCACTAAAGAAAAGGGCACAGAGAGGAAACCAGTTGTAAGATGTTTAAAAGTTCATTAAACATAATATATGCTTAAATGCATTTCAAAGAAGTTGTGTTGAGTTGTGTTGGAGTTTGTGTTATTCTACATTTTAACACCAAGATTTTCTGATTTTACTGCAAATGTATATCGGTTCCAAATATCGGTTATCGGTCTCCTTGATTACTAATAATCGGTATCGGTATCGGCCTTGAAAAAGCCATATCGGTCGATCCCTACTTTCTATGCTAACGGCCAGATCGCTCTACAAAAATACTTCATCGCTGCACCACTCTTTAAGGCATTAATGCTGCTGCAAATGTGAAACAATATCTCCTCTGTTTGCTCCTCATCTCAGATCTATACACAGCTGGCCCAGGACGACAAGATCCGCTATAATAATGAGATCAGGTCGTGGGAGCAGCACATGGTGGAGATTGGACGACCAGACCTGGTCCGAGAGAAGACCCTGCCTACCAAGAGGAAACTTGCAGCTCAAGTTCAAAGAATCAAGAAGGGAACGATGAAGGTTATACATACAGGGAAGTATGCCACTGCAAGCGAAACTGTCCGCAGTAAATGAACACATCAGTGTGTTCATGTACCAAGAGGAAACAGTGTTCATGCTCTGCTTGGTTTTTGACAACGTTCCCAATTGTCATGAATGCTCCTTAGGTTCAACAGGGCAAAGCTTTTACATCATTCAGACGGATCAACATCATTTCACAGAAACCATTATCACCTGTGCTTAGTGAAATGTAACAATTGAAACCCGGAAAGCAGGATTATAACAAGCACAATGTGACTCTAATAATCATCCTGACTTATTGGTTTCTTAAATCCATTCGATTTATAAAGTGCGATGGTTCCTGGCTAAGAAAGAGATGCAATATAATGATTTCATGAGCTTAGACATTTAAATCAAGTTAGTAAAGGAGTTTCAGATAAGGTTTCTACATTTCTGTCTGCAGTGTGTAAAAGGTTTCATAGCCCTGAGTGTTACCACAATATACTTGAGCAAATGTAAAAGTTACTGTTGCAGTTCCAAAGCAAACACTTTTTTTTATTTTTGGTATTTCATAAAGAGTATTGATGCAAAGTAAACGTCTGATGTTATTCTGTACTTGCCAACAAATCCATGAAATGTCCAAAATCAATACCTACAGTACCTGTCTGGCTCTCAGGCTTACATCTTTAGAGCCCCATACAATTGTTTAATTAAAAGAAAAACATATATATTTACAGACACCGCTTCCCCTAAAGATGAGCCATGAATGAAAATGAAGCCATCCTCACTGAAGTATGAATCTCATCGCTCTTGTCGATGTAGCGTCACCTTTTACAGTCGCAACCTCAAACTGAAATACTGTTATTTTTCATTTATGCCATAATCATAGACAGTTGACTGACATTTTGGGTTTCAAAAATATACTTTGTTTAGCTTTGTATGAGATGCTTTTTTGTTTTAACTGCTGTTTTGGTTGATAATAAAATGTGCTTTTTCCTACTGCGCCTTCATCCAAATGATTGTTTTGTTAATATAAATGCTCAAACACCCTTCATCTCTGGTATGTTTCAAAAGAGCCTTCCTTTATGCTTAAGCAAACTGCCTCAGTGAGACTATGCACGTGTTTACGCTAGCAAAGCTACAGTCAAAGCTGAAGTACAAAAGCATCCATGAAAACTTAATTTTCTCATAGGAGTCAAAGCCCCATTAAATGTGTCTGCTCAGGCTTGTTGGTTCAGAATGGCCGAAACACGAGGGGCCCGTGTTTTGGTCCCCTCTGGTCATCAGTACTGTAACTACGGATGAATGTGGCACGTGTTAAAACAGTCTTCCCAATTTAGTTTAGTTATACATTTTTATAATCAAGACGTTTCAGCCAAAGTCAAATCCAGATGACGTGTGTATATATTTTCAATTACCTCGCCAACCCAGCAAAATGTGTAAAATACAGAGCAAAATCACAGCAGGTTCTGTTCTGTGGGGCCTTTAAAGTCCCATTTTTTTCTGATGGCCATCACAATACGATCTTCAATGAAATTCAATTACCTTGAATCGTTGATCTGCATCAGTTCTAAAAATAATGGAATAAGCTATTTACTGCTTTGTAGCATCACATACCACACAATTTAGCTTCAAGCAAACAGTTCATCAACAATGTTTTAAACAATTGATTGACATTTTTCCAAATGTTCTGAAAGGTCCTCCAGAAACTAATAGTTTTACTGTGCCAATTTTGAACACTGAAGGCCATGAACATCTGGATTTGCAGCTGCTTTGAAGATTATCCATGAAGCTTCGAGGTGAACGTGTTTTCAAGTTTAACAAAAACATATCCAGGTTCAAAAACACACAACGTGAATCTTACAATAATACTGCAGTTAGCAAAATACTACAAAAGTGACACATTCCAGCTGTACATGAGTTGTTTTTTATTTAACCAGGAAGTCCCTTGACATTCAAATCTATTTTCTTCAAGAGATAATTACAGGTTTACAAAAATAGAATATACAAAGCATGTTAAAACAGACAAGTAAAAATAGAGGAAGTAACAGATTAACAGCAGATCAGAATACAACATGTATAGTAGGCGCAATCTAGTGGAGAGAAAACGTAACTGCAATAAGTGCATCTACTGGATCAACTATCATCCACAGACTGATACACTGAAGCATGGGAAAGTTCCGTTATGAAAGCATCTGTAAATTCAAATGACAGTCACTCAGTGTTGGACTAAAGTCTGGAAGCTTCCGGCATAATGATCACAACCTGGTGTCACTATCATTCTGAGTGTCTGCTGGTGGATGTACAACTGATAAGAAGTCATCAGTTAACAGGTATTCAGTGCTCAGGTACAATTGAGTCCTTGTAGATCAGCGGGGAGGGTTCTAATACAATGATTTTAAAGCATCTTTTCAAAAACTGGCAGTGTCTTCACATCAGAGGTAAAAACTGTTTATGAGTTTGTTTTTCTATCACACGATATTTAAAATGTGCTAGGCTCAATTCTAGCATACAAATAATGCAGGTCGCCGTTGATAGCCTGCATAGCTGCCTTAACCTCAAACCAGAGGTATGAAGAATATATTAGACTCCAGGTCACTTCCTTCACAGTGGTGTGTGGGTGTGGTCCCACAACATCTGATCAGCCATCGTACACAGTTCTCACACAGTGTCTGATACCTCATTCACACCAACGGTGTTTCAGGGCCGGTTCGGAGCTGGAGCTTGAAAAGCACCAAAGAGTCAGTGACCTCGAGAGGCGTTCAGGGTCCTTGTGGCTGCTGTGGTGAAGCTTCTCTCAGTAACGCCTGGAAGTCAGGAGATAAGACCAGTTTGTGGCGGACGTTTCCCAACACCATCATGTCTCCAGTTCGACCGTCAGACAGACGCACAGACACCAGTTGCTGAGTAGAAAGGAGAGAAAGCTTCCACATTAATAGTGACTAAATGGATTTGTTTCACTTTATTAGCAGAGATATATTCTGGTGTTGCAAATGTTTAAGTTCAGTTAACTGCACCTAGTCACCACCCAGTACCTGCAGGAAGGAGAAAGCAGCTCCCTCAGAGACGTCCATCACAACCTGACCCATCTTCAGCTCCACCTTTCCGGACTTCCTGATCTGCAGTTTACCCAGAAATCCTTCTGGCAGCTGGGACAGCACGGGACAGCCCTCCTTCAGCGGCACCTGCTGAGGACAGGCACAGACTGTTAATAACTGGCTGCAAAAAGCACTTTTGGGTTTAAATCACCAACGGCTGCTAGACTGACGATTCCAATTATCTGTAAATCACATTTTAATATCTTTAAAAAATGTAATTATGTTTTTTTTAATTTGTTGAAATGTGTGTTTTTATCCGAAAACTTTCCAAAAATGTTCAATCCAAAGGGGGATTTGAACTTGAATCAAGGTAACAGTAATTTCCCTTTGAGTATGCTGTATGCGTGCCTGTCAGACGATGTCATGAATTGACTTTTTATCCAGTTTTAAGCTACATTTTTTTAGATCTTGGTCTTTTTTACCACTATACAGACCGGATAAGGTTTTTAAATTGGATATCTAGATTTGAAGCTATCAGAGAAACCTTAGTGGTTAGCTTGTAGCCGTTCAGCCGTATGTCCACTGGTGAACACTGTCTTATAACACAGCACTGCTTCATTCTGACTCACCTGTGCTTGCAGCTGTGCCGGCCTCTTGTCTGCAAGCTTGCCTTCCTTCTTGGCAGGTTTCTCTGCTGCAGGTGCTGGAGGGGGGTCCACTTTCTGTGCAGCTCTGCCCGGCATGCTGTCAGGAAGCTGCATGAAGAAGAGCTCCTCTCTGTCCGACAGGCTGAGCTGCTGCAGCAGCTCTCCCACAGACGGCTGCTCTGCTCTGGGCAGCTCTGTTCTGATTCCGGCTCTACAGGATGGAGCTCTGAACACACGAGGCTTCTCTGGACCTGCCAACAGGACAAACACTTCACCACCAGAATGGACTGAAATAATTCTGCTTTTTTTATACTGAGAGTAGCTGCTCGAAAAGCAGATTCAGTGACTAAACAAGACGTAATGAGACTACTAAACATCAGACAGTAGCAGTACTTTAGTGAAAGGAGATTTTCTCACATGTGCTGGATGTCCGTGTCTTTGAGAAGCTGCTGGGCTGACACAGAGGCAGCTGGATGGGTGTCAGCTTTTCATCGTTCCTCAGACCTGGATCATCTATGAACTGAGGGTAAAAATATAACACAAGTAATGACCAAAATGATTAGTGATATTTATAACTATTGACATCAGTATCAATTACAACTTACTGACTCACCAGTCATTATAAACGAATGCTACGCAGATTAACATTTGGAAAACATCAGAACTTTCTTTGTCTGCTGGCAAACCGCCACATTAAACTCACTAAAAACACACTTTTACTGTCTTCCAGGTTTAGACGGAAAAATGATGGTGTCAGTTTTGTCACAGTGAATAAGAGTTTACTTGCTAATTGTGAATAAGACTATTTGAAATAAGCCATGCTTTGTCACTCCAAACTAAAAAGACTAAGGAGTTGGGGCATCAGTTGGGGCGCCCTAATTTAGTTTATGATTTGATCTAAAAGTCATTATTTGTATATTAACAGTTGATCAAATAACTGTCTCTAAAGTGAAAGGCGTCTGTCCGTCAGCCAACCAGAGATACAAGAGGAGTCAATATTGGATTTACAAAGATCAGCCGAACAAAACCACATCCAATACATTCTAATGTTGTTCTTTGCATGTCGGCATCAGAGTCATAATAAAATACCAACAACAACCTCATGAGGTGACACTATGTCAAATATTAGGTTTTAGAAAGGTCCACAATGTGTCTGTTTAAAAGCTTTAATGTGCAGTTTTCCCAGAGATAGAGGCAGCGTATCACCTCTGCTACTGGCTCCATACTATCATAATGTAGTCACCAGTTATCAACAACACATAGACTAATCTATGTGCTCATCAAAGAAAGTCACTTTTACTCTACGACTCCAAAAGGAGAATAATTATTGGGAAAAATAGGATTGTTACAAATGTGTAGGACCTTAACAATGCCTTTGTATATTTACATTTACATTTGGTGTAAATACTTGTCTTCTTAAAAATACTTATTTTTGTTATCTTTATATATTTGAGCTACTATTGCAACTTATTTGATTAGATTGTTTATGTTTGCACCACCAGACAGCAAAGCAAATTCCTTGTTTGTGTAAACGTACCTGATTATTTGTATGTCTGACCTCATCTATATGCATTGTGAACTGAACCTATGCTTTTATTATAAATGTTTTATTTTCACTGATTGTGCTGTATTGTCCTAGTCTTCATCGCTGTTCAAAAATAAATGTTAAGAAGTTAAAAAAGCCTATTAACTACTAACAGCAGCGCAAGAATAAATACAATTCCACTCAAAATAACCCGCCAATGTATGACCTTCAGTGGGCCTGTCACTCATTACTGCGGCACAAACTGGAACAATTGTGAATGTATCCCTTAAGGTGGAAAGTACTCACATCGTCCCTTTGTAGTTTACTGAGTATCTCGTCTTCATCCGACTCCTCCTCCTCCTCCGACTCCTTCCTCTCCTTCTTCACCAGTTTACAGGCAGGTGATGTGGTGGAGGCGTGTAGGTCTGTAGCACCACGCCAGCCTGAACACAGAGACGTGATGATGATGATGATGATGAGGAAGGAAGTGCGACTGTCTGCTTGAGTTCCAATGAAAATAAAAATCATTAAAAACTAAAATAAAGAATATGTGCACCTGTTTTGCGTACGGTGTCGGCAGGACCCTGCTCGAAGATGGAGTGAGACTGGATGGTCTGCAGCCTCTCTCTCCTCCTCCCCCTGCTCTCCCTCTTCCTCTCATCCCTCTCTCTCTTCTCTTTTTTAGGAGCCGCTCTGATCTCTTCCTTTAACCTGGGGTAGATTCAGACATGACCATAGGCATCATTTATACCGAGGACACTGGGGAAATGTCCCCACCATTTTGCATTAGGTCATTTGATAAAGTCATCTGAAAACAGCGTGCTCAAAGAATTGTACACTTTGAGAAGTGATGTGCACTTTTATTTGCACAAGAGAACATGTACAATGTCGAGGACTGTTCACACTTTTTGGGTGTATGTCTGCTAACCTAAGCGGTGCAATTTGGACCAGTGACAGGTTTAATATAAATAACAATTGAATAGAGAATAGCTTTGCAGCAGTGTAAGCATATGTATGTATTTAGATATCAGAAATATGCTTACAATACTTTTGTTTACATTATGTATGTATTATTTGTGGGGGTGCTCAATGCAGTAGTGTTTTTTTTATCTCAAAAAAGTGTCCCCACTACTTTTTCTAACAAAGTGAAGCCTGTGGACCGTGTAGAGGAAACGTCTGTGTAGCAATGCTGTGGGAGTCACCGACTCAGGAAGGAGACCTAACATGTATAATCATTACACACTACAAACTAACAGCAACAACTTATATTACTAAACAGTCCTGAAATGATATTGTTAAGACCACTCACTCATCTTTGTGTTTCCTCACAGCATGGACATTTGGCTCAAAGGATTTCTGAATAAGAGCACAATGAGGAAAGAAACATATTGTTAATACCACATATCTCTTTTTTGGGATCCAAACATGCACTTGCAATTAGCCTCCACAGTCAAATAAGAGTCTGAGCCCCCCACTACCTGTAACTTGAGGATATGTGTTCTATCAAAAAGCACAATGTTTTTCTTCCAAATTGTAGTGGAGTAGTATCAATTATTCTGAGATGGAAATACTCAAATCAAATAAATACATCTCAAATTTGTATTTAAGTACACCTACTTGAGTATATGTACTTTCAAAAACTGAGTATATGCAGTAGCCTATAGCCTCTATTGCAGTGAAGAGTATATGAGACTACCTTAAGTTAGTTTAACTTAAGTTACTTACCTCATTTAGTTCAAGACATTTCTTATTTAATTGGACTCTCTAACATTTGCTGATTTTTTAAGATAACATTGTTTGGTGCCTAGCAGGGCTGCCAACATTTGAGTTCAGCTTGGAGTGAGATTTTTTTTGGTGAACCGAAAAAATAAATGTTCATGTGTACAGTGTTACAAATGTATTGAACATGTACAAACTAGGGTTTCCCATTAATTCACTATTGACTAGCGGTACTGAGTTGGGCCGGTCGGCCGGTCGAGTTACCCGGGCTGATTTGTAAGTCCGCCCCTGTCTGAGGAGCATATGCCCCGGGAAGATCTTTTTTTTTAAATATTGAAGTTAAATGAATTAACCTGGTGCATTTTGAGAGCAAAATGATTTTATGGATACATCTCTCAACATCCAGATGAAACAGAACTGTAAACAGATGTTTTTTCTTTATGGATATTTTACAAATCACTCACCTTTTAAACTGTATGCTTGTTTTACTGTCATATAGTATTTCATAACTGTTTTTCCTTTATTCTCATAAATGGTGACCAACGCATTTGAGACCCACTGAGATAACTAGACTAATGTGAACTATCTAAACAGAGAGTCCCTTACCTCACTGAGCTGTAGTTATCTCTCAGTCTGACAGGACAGAGCTCTCCCTCTCCTTGTTTTAGAAACAGCTTCTAATATCTGTTAGCGCAGCTAGCTAACCAGATGCTAACAACAACAATGCAAATAGTGAGTTTGGTAGAAATATGCTGTAATAGTAAAGTTATTTAAGATGATGCCATAGTTATTGAAGATGTTACATTATAAATATTCCCCAAAATTATTCAAAAGCATATTCTTCCAAACTCCTTGCTGACACACAGGAGACTATTGACGTGTGTGGTGAGTTTGGTAGAAATAAACTGTATAATAGTGATTGAATATTATTGTATTCTCTTTTTTGGGAGTTGCACTTTGCAGACGGTCCCTGAGCACTCGTTTCTTCTCCGGCTGCGAATAGAGACCAATGTAATGTGTCCAGCTCGGAGGACGGCGCGTATTGGCTTTTTTTGTTATCAAAATGTGATTGTAGTTCGTTGTCAACCTTACCACGGTACTTAGGAGACGTCATTTGTGTCTGAATAACGTTTTGTTCATGAGTTATTGATCCGTGAAATCAGAATCTCCCAATATCGTTTCAACTTTACTGAACTACGCCAGAAGACCGTCTCATTTCGTAGACCGCTCGGTTTGCTGTTCCTTCACTTTATTTGTATATTTATATACATTTATTTTGGACGAAAACTTAGCGTGAGGAAAGGCAAGTCTGGCGTGAGTGCGTGAGATATGGGTTAATTGCGTGACTCTCACGCTCAATGCGTGAGTGTTGGCAGCCCTTTGTTGCAGTATTTGTTTCAGTCCAAATCCTATAGGCATTTCATTATGACCAACAATGAAACACATGACCACATATTTCAAAAAGGTGTATCATTCATTACCTTTGGTTTCTTAAAGACTCCCCCCAGTGTCAAGTCCCTTGTTCTGAGCGAGGTCAGTCTTGCAGGGGGGGCGGGGGAGGACAGACTCCTTACCCGGCCTAGTAGTCCTCTGCCCGGGGGAAAACTCTGCGCTGCCCCGCTGCTGAGGCCGGAGCAGCCGGGAACACTGTCTGTGTCCTCAGAGTCGGTCATTCTGTGTGTCTGGACCTCCTTTTAATATTCTATTGTTTTAATGCCTGTTAGTGAGGCGTGTCCCATAACAAAACACCCTGTTTTATTGTAAACATAATCATTAACGTTACATATTGTGCTTTTATTCTGGAATGAATCCGTCTATGAGTTTAATGTATTTATGTGTAACTATGTCTCTCACAGAAACAGTTCAATAACACTCGCTGTTAAACTAAGCCTGATCCATGGTACAGACAACTTAGCAACCTCCATTTTGTTTGCAATAGCGATATCAAAACAGAGTGCATATACATGTAAAACTACACTCTCAATGACAAAAACGTTTCAATTTAGCAAACCGGAACACGAAATGTTATGAGTAGACTCCAGTTATTTTCGGTAGCCTTACACTGCAGGTTATATCCTTCCTGTCGGCTGCATACAAATAAACACTTCTTCACATCGTCTTGGTAGTTAACCCAGCGGAATATTCTGTGGTTGGAGAATATCATGTGGTTGGAGAATATCATGAAAGGCTGAGTAAAACTACAGAAAATACTATAGCAGTTAGTGCCATTGGTTTCGTTTTGCCGCCTGTTTATCTAGTTTAAATGGATAGTGGCTATTTTACTTCCGTAGCCAACTGGGTTGCCATTGTTTTTCTTATACTGTGCTACACAGACTGAACCACAAGATGGAGCTGTTTGTCTCCTGTGGGATATGTGTTCCATGACAAGGTGGTCAAATCAAAAATAATATTATAAGTTACCAGTGGTGGTGAAATTGCTCATATTTTTTACCTACCCAACTACCTAAAGTAGAAATACCTAATTTTAAAACTGCTCCTTTACAATCCATTTAAACGAGAAAAAGAGCTTGACTTTCAAAATCTTATTTACAGTTTTTTTCAGTTGCTAACACAAAAATCTCACATAAAGCATAGCCTAATTATTTTTAACTCAAAGAGCAAAACCTCAGCTCAAATCTCTAATCACATTTTCAGCTCTAAACCCAATTTGCAGTTCAACGTGGCACTTTTTGCAAAACACTGCACACGGTTCTCTAGTAAGACACAGACATCTGAAATGTTCACTTGTTTGCCATTTTCAAAACACTGCCAACAAAATGCTACACACATGAACCAATCAACAAATACACATACCAAATGAACATAAACACCAAACTGCTTTATTGTTGACTCACCAATCAGGATGTAAGCACTTGAACAAGGCTCCACATTTACAACAACAATGGATATGGATAGCAGCAAGAGGAAAGATAAGAGAGAGAGGGAGGATAAGAAAGAGGGAAGAGTTTACAGTTTTTCTCGATTGCTAACACACACAAATTGTACATAAAGTACAATTATTTTAACTGACACTCAAAGAGCAAAACATCGGCTCAAATCTCCAAAACTCTGAACATGTTTTCAGCTTTTCACACAATTTGCAAATCAATATGGCACTTTTTGCAAACCACTGCACACGTTTCTCCACGTAAGACACAGGAATCTGACATAAAGTCACGTGTTTGCTGGTTTAACCCTTGTGTTATGTTCACATTTCGCACCCTTTGGTAATGTTCGGGTCAAATTGACCCGGGACATATTTCAGGGTTTAAAAAAAATACAGAACTAAATTCAACATGCACAATTCCTTATATATAGTGTCTTTAACTCATTCCCCAACAATATAAATGAAATATATGATTAGTTTTTGAAAATACTCTTTGCTAGATCAAATGTAACAATGGAAGTGTCCATCGTTTTTTGTGATAAAAATGTAATTTATGTTAAAAAAAAATACACTGTAATAAAAACTAGGTTTACATTTTGCTCATGCTTTTCTAGGACTAATGTAAATGAAACATTTTTTCATTAATGTTTATTATTTTTAATCTGTCATATAATAATCAAAGCCCTGAAGGAAATAAAGCAATGTATCAGCAATTGGAACACAAGAACCACTCAGCCAAAAGTATTTGGCTGTGAAATATAGAGGGAATGAAACATCCATATAAATGACATAGAACAGATATAAACACAAAGCAAATAAAAACAATTAACAGTCACTATTCATAAAATACAGTATATCCGAAAACTATATTGATGAAGTGACGCTGCAGAACATCATGTTAGTCAATAGGGCAAGTCCGTTTAGGAAACACATGATGTACAGAACTTCTTCGTGTGTATAGCACAGATGTACTTGTTGCAGTTGCTGCATGTAGTCTGTGTCTTGGAGTCTTTTGAGGGTCCACAGACCTCACAGCTGGCTGTGGGGGTCTTCCAGAAGCTGACTGTGGGGGTCTTCTTGTGGCTGGCTGTGGGGGTCTTCCAGAAGCTGACTGTGGGGGTCTTCTAGCGGCTGGCTGTGGGGGTCTTCCAGCAGCTGGCTCTGAGTCAAGTTCATCTTCCAATTTGCTGTCAAATTCTGAGTTTACCGCCAGTTTATCCTCATCTTCAGAAATGTCTTCCTGTCCCACTTCACCGTGTTCCTCTAATGCATTCCACTCACTCTCATCCATTATTAGCTCCAAGGCTCTGAGCAGAATATCTTTTGGCCATTTTGTTGGTAGATAATTGTAGTTCTGCACTACACTGTAATGTGAGGTTATGTCTCTGTTTAGTCCCTCCTCCGGTGTGCAGGTGCGAGGGGGGACAGTGCGAGAACATTTCAAATGTTTATACATTTCTGGAAGATCTAAAATGTTTATAATGTTCTAGGATAGTTTTGTGTACACACTACAAAGGGTAAAGATCAAGGGAAAACAGGATCAAACAGCTTCTCTGTGCATACGATTGTGTGTGTGTGTGTGTGTGTCTTTAGTTTGTGTGTTTCTGTGTGTTTTTCTCTGTCTGTCTGTCCTGGTATTGTATCCGGGTCAGATTGACCCGAACCTCTTATGAAGGACATCAATGCGGGTGGGCATTTTTTCATAAGTGGAAAAAAATAAAAACAATTCCACATGTCCTTCACAATAAATAAGCACCGGCCATTGAGTTTCAGGTTGAACGAAAATATCCTTATATTTTTTTGTATTCATTGAAAATGGAAACCACACAAGGGTTAAAACACTGATATTCAAAATGCCTCACACATGGCCCAATGATCAAGAAACACGTTCCACCTGACCAAACTCCTGATTGCATAATTGTTGGCTCATCAATCAGGATGTTAGCACTATAAAAAGACCACAGGTGAGTACTTTCTTAAATAATCCCACCAGAATCCTTTGCCCCTCCACTAGCACCCCCCGTCAAGGCTCGCCGGCAGTACACTTTCCGTCACAGGAACACGCTTTGCTGGCGGCGAAAATAATGGAGGTGCTGATCCTCATCCCAGCCGCTTCACACTCGGTTGCGAACCGATTCAGTGAGTGCTGAAGGTCGCAGACCGATGAAGCCATTAGAACCACATCATCTGCAAAAAGTAGTGGTGCAATCTTTAGTCCACCGAACTGCAGACCCCCTCCCCCACGACTACGCCTCGAAATCCCACCCATGAATATTACAAACAGGATTGGTAACAAAGCGCAGCCCTGGCGGAGGCCAACCCTCACCGGAAATGGGTCCGACTTACTGCCGAGGACCCGGACACAGCTCTCGCTTTGGGAGTACAGAGACTGGATGGCCCTGAGTAGAGACCCCCTCACCACATACTCCTGCAGCACATATTTATATAAATATATACAATTTCAGATTCAAACAAGTATGAGAGCACTCTCATAATAACGTAACACTATCAGAGCCCCCCCCCCCCCCCTCTGGTCGCTACAATGGTGAACTGAAATTACGGGCCAAAAGTTTTATTTACAAGTATTAAAAGTAAGCATAGGACACCAAACATTACATTATATTACATGTTACTTGTTAGACGCTTTTATCCAAAGCGACTTACATACTCAATACTGTGGGTAATCCCCACAGGAGCAATTTGGGGTGAAGTGTCTTGCCCAGGGACTGCTGACTGCAGTGGGGTTTGAACCTGTGATTCCCCAGATCCACTGCGCCACACGCCATATAATCAGGCTACAGCCATTGTGTATTTTATTATGTGAAGCACTAAATGGTTTTAGAAAAATATCGATTATTTGTTTGTAGATATAGAAATTAAACTAAAGCATAGGGTTAGGGTTAGTTAGGGTTTTCTAATCACCGTGGCCCGTCACCTCTCATCCATCTGTCTTTTCATTGTTTTCAACGCCGTATCTTGTTCCCTCATAGACGGCTCAACACCCCCGATACGGTGCCGGTCCTCCCTCACTCGCATCTCGTTGTTGTCTCCCCGCTCTCGTCTCCGAAGTCTGGTCCACTTGCGCGCTGCCTCCAGTCTTTGCAGCAGCGTAGGTCTCTCCTCTCCCGGGTCCGGCACCTGCCAGCCTCTCTGCCGCATCACCCTCGCCGCGTCCTGAGCACTCTTATACACCATAGTTCCTTTGTTCCAGTAAACCCTCAGTGTGTCCATTGGAGATTGAAACCGAATCCCCTTATCTTTGAGAATTCTCTTGAGCCCGGCTTATTTCCGACGTTTAGCCGCCACCTCCGCAGAGTAATCGTGGTCGAATGTCACTCTCCGTCCCTCCACTTCCAACACCGTTCGCCAGGACATTCTCCTTGACCTCGAACCTCAAGAAGTTGACAATAATGGCTCTTGGGGGTTTGTTTGATTGTGGTTTTAGAGCAAGTGCCCTGTGCACCCTTTGAATCTCCAACTTAATATCCTCCGACATTCCCAGCTCCTTGTGAATTAACCTGTTGACGTACTCTGGGACCGAGTCTCCCTCTATTCCCTCATTCAACCCCTAAATTCGTACATTATTTCTTCTCGACCTCCCTTCTACGTCGGACAACTTATCTTGGAGCTTGGTTTGTTGTTCAAGAGAGGCCGTAAGAATGTCCTGGACGTCGGTACTCCACTCCTCGACCCCAGCTGTACGCTCTTCTATGATCTCAATATCCTTCTTTTGGGCCCGTATCTCCGCCTCAGCGGTCTCAAAGTTTCTATTTGTTTCAAGCCATTAGCCGCGTTCACACCAAGTACTTTGTCGCACTTAGTGCCCCGGCACTTATTACCCCAGGGCACTAAGTACAGATCACGTTCACACCGGAATAGGTTCCCTGAGAGAAGATTACGCAAATGAGCCGCTGACGTGACTTCGTCGTCTTCTTCTTTGGGTTTACTGGCAGGCCGCAAACCACTTCACAGTGTATACTGCAACCTGAAGTCCCCGGCCGGAAGTCCCCGGAGTTGGGGACTGGCTTCAGTAGAAGCTGCTGGGACTCCCAGCAGCTTCTACTGAAGCCTTCCGAGTAAATCGCCAGAACGCCGACACCTCCTCATCTCCACCGCTCCCATGTTTTATTTTGTGTTGCCATAAGTTAGTCTCTCTGCGTTTGTGCGCTGGGCGAATGCTAATGCTAATGCTATAATAAAATGGGATAATATATTGAGGATAATAAAATGGCGGCTCTACAAAACATTTCAGAGTTTTACGGGGCGTGGTTTGCAATTCGCCCAGCCAATCAGAACTGGGGCACTTTTTTCCCCCAGGAAAGTACCATCTCTCAGCAGGCACTAAAAATGGGGGTAAAAGTTCCCGGCACTAAGTACTCTTTTTGGTGTGAACGCGACATAAGGGGTACTAACGGAAC